ATGGGGTACAGGGGTGTCTCACACATCCAAGAGGTTGTTGAGGACTTCTGTAGTCTTCCAAAGATCTGTAACTTTCTAGGGCTCTTCGGTAAAGTTCTCATGGCTAAGAAATTCCTTGTATTCTTTGCTTGTCTGTCAAATTGTTCCTGACTTGGTTAATTAAGAAGCTCAGAGCACCTAGTGCGAAACTGAGGGAGTGTTTATAAACAACTGGGGACTTGGGGGCTCAGTTGCTGGTTCCAGGGTATAAGGGATCTGGAATGAAGAGCCCCATGTTCCAAGGAAGGGTTGCAGAGATGACATCTGCATCCAGGAGTGTGCCTCAAAGATCCTGAACTAGCAACAGTGATCTAGCTCTGCTCAGTCCCAGTTGGTTCAGGAGCACATAGGATCCAGCAGTTGGGTCATAGAATCATAGAATATCAGGGTTGGAAAGGACCTCAGGAGGTCATCTAGTCCAACCCCCTGCTCAAAGCAGGACCAATCCCCAGTTTTTGCCCCAGATCCGTAAATGGGCCCCTCAAGGATTGAACTCACAATGCTGGGTTTAGCAGGCCAATGCTCAAATCACCGCTGTCTATCCTGAGGTGGGGACTGGGCCAAGTTGTGCCAATATTATCCTAAATTTCTGATATGTTGTTGTTCAGCAAATGGTTTAAACCTCCTTGAGAAAGTAATAACACCTAACATAGTCTTAAAGCATACTGTGGAAGTTGAAAAGTTCTTCTGTAACCACCATCAACGTCACAGCTAGTTATCTGAAAGATTTGGTATTGCAGTTTTCCAATGACACTCGGTGTAACTCATAAAAAGTCTGACTTCAGTGGGGCTTTCGATCTGGCCCTATATTTATTTCATCTAACCTTTTGGTAAGCATATTATTTGCATTAAATATAAGGAGGACTTTGATCATGCATGTTACAGAGAGATTACAGAGAGTTTTGAATACAGATCCTAAATTTCTTCAAGCGCTTAACCATATATTTATTCAACTGTAGGTGTGCCTGTGCTAGAGATTGCAGATATTTTGCTAGCTGTGTCCATCTGGGCCACGCATGCACACTGACTGCTTATGGCGTAGAGGGTGATGCTGGACTAAATGCTACTCCAGTTCCTTGGCCTGAGATGAAGCACTTCTGGGCCTCACTCCTTTAGCTTACCTTATAGCATTTTGTAGATACTTTTTTTTAGTCTATTTTGTAGTATAGGTAGTGTAAAATTGTCCGTTGGCATTTAAATTATAGTTATATTGCATAGTTTGAGGGAGTTATAACTCTCTTCTCCACTTTGTTTTCTAGTAAAGGAGGTGTCTGTTTTTTGTAATGCCCCAAATCCCCTGGATTTATATTTTGAGAGTCTTGTGAAGGAGCCTTTCCCTTCAAAAGTGATCACACTCATTGCCTTTTTTGTTTAGGGAAGTCATACATCTCTGTTAAATGCAGTGCGGAAGTTGTTCTGCGGAAGAACAAAAAGAATCCAGGGAAGTCAGGCTACAGGTGTATTTGTTAGACTGCTCCATATGGGCAGCCTTGGACCCAGGCCCATCTGGACATCCCTCACCCCCCTGTACAGCAGACTTCAGGATTGAAGAGTTCTCTATCCATTAGTTCCAGGGACAGTTCCTTGAAGGAGACCTGTAGGAAGTCTCAGTGGGAGTTACAAGAAGGTAGTGAGAAACACCTCTCCAAAGAGATGAGGAGCACACATCCCCATGAAATCTTACGGGAGGTTGGTGGGGGGAAGAGGTCAAAATCTCCTCTTTGCTTCTAGAGATACCCTGTGGCCCTTTGGTTCTGGGGAAGCATTTGGAACTGAGCAAGCTTCATTAGCATTGGTACTGATTAGCAATATGGTACTGAAGGAGCTGCAGTTCTCTAATGAACCTGAGTCCCCTTTACTGTCAGGAAGTATACCTTTATGTATGAAGGTACTGTGCTCAATAAGCATACTTGGGCACACTACCTTCATACATCATCAAACTGAGAGACTGACTCAGGCAACAGTTCACCCAGCCTCAGGATCCTCCAGTGCAAACTCATCAAACTTCTTTCAGAGGAGGAAGAACATCCCACAGAGGAGGACATGCTGGCACCACTAGTCATCTCCTTTTGTTTGGATGAGACAGTAATCCCTTCAACACCGTCATGCCCCACTGATTATAGGAGCTTTCAGGAGCTCATGAAAAGGGTAGCTGATACACTCTAAATTCCTCTGGAGGAATTTCAGAAGGCTCCTCACAAACTTTTAGTCATTTTACACGAGACTCTGTCAGGGTGAGTTGTTCTTCCCATTAATGAGGTCCTTTCGAGCCTGTGAAAACAGTCTGGCCCAAATTCTAAGACAAAGGGCAGGGAATATTATGTGCCATCCAAATGGATGTAATACTCCCAGCTGGGGCCTGGCTCTGTCGTGGAGGTGGCTGCAAATGAATGGACTAAGCATTCCAAGGTAGTCCCATGAGAAAGGAAAATGAAACATTAGGCTTTCTGGCTGAAAAAAATATTCTTTTGCAAGACAGCAGTTTAAAATAACCATTGTGCTCAGTGCCAACATCTGTAGTGATGCATCATTGTGGCTTCAATTGCTTGGAATCCCAAGAGAGGTCCAAGCCACAGTGGTGGTTTTTCCATTTGAAGGACAAAATCATTTCAGTCGGAAAACTAATCTTAAGGATTGCGTGCAGCTCTTTGGTCCCTCGGCACATACGGTCCTGCAACAAAGAGAAAGTAGTGTAAACCTCAGCCTTTCCCTAGACAATAGACTATGCTACCTGGTTTCTACTGTTAGAGGCCTACTGAACCCCTCAAGAAGCAGCCAGGGTTTCAGAAGAGGTGGTCTACTGCTCCTGCTTTTTCTTCACAGCCAGCCACAACTAGTAAACGTTCCTTTTGAGATGCTGGTCAAGAGCTGCAAATCAGCCTTTCTTCTGGATCTGCCTTCTTTTTTCTTCCCTCCCATTTGGAAACCACGTTGCCCTATTTCAGGGGTCATGGAACAACATAATGGACAAATGGGTCTTAGAGATCGTAACATCTGATTATGCAGTTCAGTTCCATACTACACCTGTTTCCTCCTCCCCACACATCAACTTATACCAACAGCTTCTCTGTCCCTTTTCAGGGACTCCTTTTTATGAGAGGCTTCTCATCTCTTAAGTAATAGAAGAGGGGCTTCCACTTTAAAGAGGGAAAGGTTTCTATTCAGGTATTTCCTTTCACCCAGGAGGAAGAGGGAGATTGGTTTTGACAGCTCTTATAGAGGCCCCATTTAAAGCATGGGTTTCATGTTCTTTCTTTCACTTGTCTATCAAGACCCTTCTTCATTGTGACCACATCAGCTGGAAGGGTGGGAGAGAGAAGGGCTCTCACAGCGAACTTTCTCTTACACAGTCTTCTACATCGACAAGGTATCCCTCAGACCTCACCCAAAGTTTATACCTAGGGTTGGTCTGAGTTGCATTAGGGTATTCATTTGTCAATTTTTTTTCCTAAACCATATTCTAATCATGATGAAGCTAGATTACATAACCTGGATAGTCAAAGTGTCCTTAACTTTTATCTTCAAAGACTGAAGCTCTTTTGGTCTTCTCCGAGGCTCTTCATTTCCTTCCTCATTTAGAAGATGAGGAGTACTCCTATTTCCACCCAAAGGTTATCAAAGAGGGTGTTGGGCTACATTAAGCTATGTTATGATTGACAAAGGTAGTTTTACCAACTAATAATAGGGTTAATTCAACCAGGACCTGGGTGATCTTGGTAGTTTTCCTCAGGAATGTCCCCATTAATGATATCTGTAAAGCTTCCACATGGGGTTCCATAATACCTTCTCCAAACATTAAGTTGGTAGCAACTTCTGCAGCTGATGCCTCTTTTGGTAGGGCAGTCTTTCAGTCTGTGGTAGATATTTAGATCGCTGCTTGGAAGTCACCTAGACTGAAATATACTTATGGACAAACACTTGAAGAAGAAAGAAGGGAAGGTTACTTACCTGTAGAGCAGAGGTCCCCAAAGTGTGGGGTGCGCCCCCCTAGGAAGGCACAGAGGAAAGGGAGCACCACCCAGCCCCGCCCCCAGCTGTGGCCTTGGTGCATGGCCCCTGCTCCCAGCCCCGCGCCTGACCCCGTCCCCAGCCTCAGTGCAGCTCTGCACTTGGCCGGGGTCCCAGCTGTGGCTCCGATCCCGGCCCTGCCCCAAGACTTGGCCCCTGGCCCTGGCTCCCATCCCAGCCCGAGGACGAGGCTGGGGACTGGAGTGGAGCTGCATCTGCCCACGGGGCCTCAGCCCCTCGCTGTGGCTCCGGCCCCAGACCCACGCCCAGCTGTGGCCCCAGCCTTGGCCCCCTTAAGCCTGCCTGCGTCTCCTCCTTCCCCCTACCGGAATCGCGGCGCTGCTCCTGGCCCTGGCTCTGGTGGAGGAAGCAGGGGGGCATAACCCTCAAAAGTTTGGGGATCACTGCTGTAAAGTAACTGGAGTTCTTTGAGATGTCATTCAAATGTGTATTCCATGACTTGCCCACTTTTCCCTCTGCTTCAGAGTCCATCTGTAATATTATGGAAACCATGATAGAGAAGGAACTTGAGTGGTGATTGATCCTGCTCCGCTCTTTATACCTTCGATAACAGGCACAAGGGTGACCATGTATAGACCAGATAAACAATGTGAGCAAAAAATCTGTAATCTTGGCACTTGGGGCACATTTGCACCTAGACTGGAATACTCATATGGATAAAACATCTCAGAGAACTCCAATTGCTGCACAGGTACTTAACTTCCATTTCAGATTTGAAAAAAGGCTGCAGCAATATTATACTTCGTTTTTGGATACCAGGGTTTTATTACTAATGTTCATTTTATAAAGAAATAGGAAATGTGTTTGATAAGTCTGTTTTTCAACAGAATGTCTTCCTTATGAAGTTGGCTTTCTGCTAAGTCGTGCGCTTTTGCTTTCTTAAAGTTATATCTGTTACAGGATTTCTTCTTTCTTTTTTGTTTTTTCTAAAGACCTTGTGTGGATAGTAATGACCGCACGTTTCCGATTGCCTGCTGGCAGAACCTACAATGTACGAGCGTCTGAGCTGGCACGAGACAGACAACATACAGAGGTGGTCTGCAATATTCTTCTCCTGGATAACACTGTACAAGCTTTCAGAGTTAATGTAAGTAGAGTTATATGTATTATTTAATTTAGTAACAGTTTCACTGTGTGCCTGCCTTAATTTGTATATACCAAGTACTTTTCTTCACTGAACTGTGTCATAAGTTAGACCTCCAAACAAGACATGAAAAGTGTTAAATCAAAAAAAACACAAAACCTTAATAAAGCTAGATACTGTATTTGAACAAACATGCTTGCACATGTGTATAATTAGCCATCTTGTGTACCTCATCAGTTTTGGCATCATCTACAGATGATGATGGTACAAACACTTGTGTCTGAGAATTGAGTGTTAAGAGCACAATCTTCTGCTACTTGATCCAGTTTCTCTTTAGGGCCCCTATACTGCATGATGAAGTCAATGGTAGTTTTGACATTGAGTTGAATGGAAGCAGGAACAGGCTCTAATTCGGAGGTGGGCAAACTAAGGCCCTCAGGCCATATCTGGCCCGTGGGACTGTCCTATCCAGCCCCTGAGCTCCTGGCCCGGGAAGCTAGGCCCTGGCCCCTCCCCTGCTGTCCCTCCTGCCCCGCAGGCAGCACTCTGGGTGGCAGCTGCCTGCTCATGTAGGGCAGCGTGTCTGGCTCCGGCTGGGCAGTGCGGCGGCCAGACATGCCGCTCTGAGCGGCATGGTAAGGGAGTCGGGGGGGGTGGGATAAGGGGCAGGGGTTTCTGGGGGACAGTCAGGGGACAGGGGGCGGTTGGATGGGGTGGAGATTCAGGTCGGGTGGTCGGGGAGCAGGGGGTGGTTGGATAGGGCAGAGGTTCGGTGGCGGGCAGTCAGGGGACGGAGAGCAGGGGGAGTTGATAGGGGGTGGGGTCCTGGAGGATGGTTAGAGGCGGGGGTCCTGGAAGGGGGCAGTTGGGGACAAGGAGCGGGGGGGGGGTTGGATGGGTTGGGGGTTTTGAGGGGGCCAGGCAGGGGGCGGGAAGTGGGAGGGGGTGGATAGGGGGCAAGGGCCAGGCTGTTGGTTTGGGGAGGCACAGCCTTCCCTACCCGGCCCTCTGTATAGTTTCGTACTCCGATGTGGTCCTCAGGCCAAAAAGTTTGCCCACCCTTGCTCTAATTGTTTGTCAAGTGTTTGCATTTTAAACACGTAATGTAAATTTGTAATGCTATCTACTCTCTTGACTGTATTTTAATATGTTTAGATAAGTTCATGTAATCGTATTTACTATTGAATTTATAGATGTTTCTGAATATCACCATATCTCTTTCTCCTCTGCTTTTCTCAATTATATTCTGTTTAGTTCCCAGTATTGTTGTCTTTTCTTAAAAAGACATACATAGTACATACCTTAAAGAAGAGTAGGAGAGAAGAACCAGAAAACCAATTGCCAATTAGTTGATGAATGATACCTGCAAAATAATTACAAATATATTACTGGAGTCAGTGTGTAAATATTTGGAAGACAGTTCTCTGTTAAAAACTGGGTTGGATTGAGAAAATCTAATGACCTACCAAGCTGCAATTACTTATAGAATAGATAAAATGAAAGCATGCGTTCTTGTATGCATACATATATTTATTTATGGTATTTGGACATTCAAAAAACATTTGGCAAAGACCCTTACAAAAGGCTGTTCAAGAACAAGGAAGTTGTTGTGGAATGAAAGCTAAAGTACTGTCATGGGTTAGAAACTTGCTAAAAGAGAAAAAAATATTCTCAACATGGCAAAAGGTTAACAGTGCGATGTCTCATTCTTATAAGGACAGATGTTCAATTTATATTTCAGTGATCTGAAAAAGAAAAGTGAACAATATGGTGGCAATATTTGCAGGCGGCATGATTATTATGATTAATCAAGACTAGAAAAGACTGAAGATTTCAGGGGGTTAGGTAAACGAGCAGTATGATGGCTGATTGGGAGCAGGACTTCAAGTTGGGGATAAAGGTGAAGTGGAGTTGAGAAGGAGCTTCACTGGTGAATCACAGATGTGTTCGAATATTTTTTCTGTTGGAGTGACATTTTTAGGAAGTTGTAAGCAGAGAAATTTTAATTTTAAAAATATGAACAGCTGTTCAACTTAGCAGTTGGGAAGTTATTTGGGATATAAGAGAGAGAAGCATGTAACTGAGTGTGCTTATTTCATTTAAAGTACAGAATAAAAACTGAATTTTTATCTCTTCTTTCAGAAACCAAGTAGCAATAAATCATCTCCAGTCCTTTCGCAGGCTCTTTTATGCATAGAGATTTTTAAAAGATTAAAATAAATATGTTTGTATTGCAGTTTAACATGATTGGGACGGCATTTCTGAACAAGATGAATCTAATTATAAACTTCTGAAAGAAAAATAAATCACGATCGCCTCTGCTGTTAACCATAGCAAAAAGGGTTGTAAAACTTCAGTGTAATGTAGAAACAAATAAGAGCTGCCAAGATTAGAAGACAGAGGAAATATGCTCCCCAGGACAAACTGATTTTTCACATAACATGATGTTATTTCCCTCTTTGAATAATTGGAAATAATTATTAGTAATCACTATGGTTCCAATTTTGTCATGGTAAAATTAAGTAAAATTCATGGAACAGTTATGGGGAAAAAAGGACAAAATCAGGGTATGGTCATGGTGGGGCTGACAGCCGGAGCCGGAGCCGAAGAAGTCACAAAGATATGTTAAAGTGATGGAATCGGTGACCTCCATGACCAAATCGTATCTTTAGTAATTACTATTAGGGTCAGAGTCCATGCATAGTGCTGGCAAGTTTCTTTATGCAACTTTGCCAATAAACCAAAATCCTGATTTCTGGCTCTCTTTGTCCCTTCAATTTGGGTCATCTAGTAACCACAAAATGTCAGGGCTTGTCTACACGATGCCAGCAAAACACAATAAAGGGGTGTGATTTGTAAAATGCACTAACGTGCATCACTCTGATTGCCCCATATAGACCTGCTGGCGCACACTACACCTAATTTGCATTGATGAAGTCCGATTTCAATCAGGATTACGTAAACCTGAATAATATACCTTTTAGAGTTCTCCAGCAGGGTCTACACAGGGACGTTAGAGTGCAGCATGTTAGTGCACTTTACAAATCACACCCGTCTTGTGCGCTTCACAGTGACCTGTAGGGAAGCCCTCAGTCATGCAGAATTGTTCAGCTTTGTGAGTAAGATCAGTGCTAGCCAGTGGTTAAGAAGAGACCATCAAACTTGTCATTTTAGACATTCCTGGTTTGAACCTAAATCACTTACAGTGAAAGGGTAATGCACTTAACCCGCACATTATTGTATAGTGTTATTCTGTCCCGGCCTTCGCTTTGGGCAATTGTTTTTTTAAAATGGTGAGGTTTGGGATTTCCTATAATCCATGAGGGGCATATTAATTTTTTTTTAATTGAATGGGATTTTTGCACCGCTCCTGGCCCCTTCACATCCCACAACTGCCTGCTGTCATGAGGGAACCCAAGGAAGTTCCCCTACAATTTATAGCAGGAAGGAAGGTGCAGGCCACCCCTGAGAGAAGATCATCAATGGCTGGCTGTGGGTCGGGGTGTCAGATAATACCTTGCCCCCAACGACTGGATTGGCCCAAAAATTTCTGGATGAAGCTTTTCCTTCTTGAGCGAAGGACAAACAGAACTTCTTCCCACCCCGGAAACCAATGATGTTTCCATCATACAGAGTTTTCTGGACGAAGGACATACCAGCAGAGTGAAAATTGGGATTCTGGACAGTCTCTGCTCACTTCAGCATTGACACTATTATCACATTATGCCATAATCTCAGTTATTTGAGTCCACTTTTCCTCTTAAGCCCTCAACATGACACCTGAACTGTGTGGAACGTTTCCACTGGATGCTCCAAATCACCAAGGGTAGGACATTTTTTCCTATAGAATACATTCTCACCAGTTGTGTCCAAGCCCAAGCCTGGCCCGTTGTTGGAGTACGATGTGAGAAACTTCTAGCCAAATTTTCTGACTGCAGATTCTGGAACCTCCTTGTGTTTGTTTAGGTTTCCTTGTTCCTGTTCTTCAAAGTTAGATAGCTAGGTGCGTCTGGCAGTCACTGAGTTTTTTTCCTATTTTTAGGGAAAGCAGAAAGTACTGTAAAGCTTATCTAGATCCTTTGGCAGAGGAGAGCTTATAAATTCATGCAGTATTATTTCACCCACCCTTTGCTGAAGAAAATGTATCTGAATTGGTTATAATAGAGAATATCAGAGTAGTGTGCTCTGTAACTTCCATCATCTGAAATCTGGTAATTCACTTTATATTCCAAATGTGATTTTAGTAATTTCCTTCATAATGTGAAATACTTATTTCTTCTTTGTAGTAAGATCCATGGATACTTTATCCTGTTCCCAGCTTGGCAGAACTACACCTGTCAACCACTGGCAGCAGGGGAATACCCCTAAAGTTCCTTTTTTTTTTTTCCTGCCTCCACAGTGACATACAGGCTCAAACAATACTTCCTGCTGCAGAACTTTCTGAGGAAAATTCCAACTGTTTAGACTAACAGTTTGGTTCAATAATTTTGTCTCATTCCCAGGTCTCCATTTTATATGTGAGCAGATTGTGCGCTTCCCCATCTGAAGAGTTTGTAGGGGCTAGAGCTCCTGCAGGCTTTCAGAAGAATGCTAGTCTGAGAAAAACTAGAGGCAAAAGGAAGGGTCTCTGTGTCCTACTTCAGCCCCTTACCTGATGTGAGGTTGGGGAACTCAGCTGGCTTTGTGGGCAAAGTGCAAGATCTCTTACTGCCAAGTCTGGGCGGGATCACCTCAGTTGTTGTCCTCCCTTGGGCTTGAAAGTAGCCCAGCAGGATTGGAGAGACCAGTTGTGCTGGACAAGTGGTTGCAGCGGTCTTGCTCCCTGGAAGGTAAAAAGGCAGGATTGAGGAAAAAACTGGCCCTGGCGCAAACAGCTCTGCCCCTTCCTCCATCTCCGTGGGGGAAGTGAAGCCAGAAGGACAGTGCGATAGATGGATAATCATGCTTACATCCCTATAGTCCACACCAGCAACTCCGTCTCTCACTGCAGAGTTCAGTGACTT